CTCTGTTCGAAATCTGTAATTGCATGAATTCGTGGAATTATCAACTTTACGCAAGTTATTAATTATTACTTAACTTTATACTTAATATTACTTCAACACCCTCGACACAGCACAGCACGGAAGAACACACTGTTTGAGGAGAGGTGTGGATACTGACAAACACAATCACAGATTTTTCTTTTTGGAAGTATGACCAGTAAGAATCATCCATTTTGTTCTGGTTCTGACATTGCCAGAAGAACTGGAATTAAAATCATTATTACAAGCTTACCGTTTTGAAACGAGATAAGGCAAGCAGATAGTTTTGAACACTGGCTGGTTATGTATTTTCTCAAATATGTATTTTGGATCATTTTAACCCAAAAAAAAGCTACGGACTGCAGCTTTAATGAAGAAATTTTCACAATATATCAGCATTATAGAGAAAATCCAAGTTATATACTCTCTAAAGCTTCAGAATTGTGCATGTATGCATGAGAATGTTGAAAGCGTGGCAGTTTCAAGAGGACACAGACTGAATGCTTCATGCTAATGAATGTTCACACATTCAAACAAGACATCATCATTTTGGCATAAGTGCTACTTGGGTAAAAAACAAGCCTCTGTTTAGTAAATTGAAGAGGTTTTTTTCACAAACGGGACCTTCTTGCCCTTGAACTCAAATAACCCCACTGATCTGGCATATCCACACAGCACATGGAGAGGCACTAATTGGATTTATGTTATGCACATACACAGTTCATGGTCACCTGGGTCTTTGTTTCACAATAACTGCCATCACATGCTCAATCTCACAAAAGGACCAATGCGTGCTTTCTGATCATTTTAATGAAACAAAAAAGCCCATGGGCAAAACCCCCCCAAAAAACAGCAATAATTACCACAGCACTAACCGGTTTCGAGCAGCAACGAGATTTCTCTGCCAGTACGATTTGGAGGAGCATCGTGACATTGACATTTACTCTACCTTATGTCGTTCTGAACCTGAATTACTCACTTTCTCTTTTGTTTGTGGAGCAAAATATTTTAATTTATGAAGATTATCCTGAGAACTGAGGTCCAAAATGACAAAGTGAAAAATGCTCTATTCCAAGACTACATTCACACTAGCTCAAGAGTTCTTTAGAAAAGTAGCAATGCCAAATTCGAGAATGAATCGTTCTTTGGAGTCTGATCTTTTTAAATGAATCAGTTGATCCAGATCCCAAAATCAGTCTTTGATCAGAATTGAACTGATCCAGTTTTCAACAGTTAACAGACCATAGGGAGAATCAGTGAAAAATTAATTATTCATCACACAAACATTCTGTTTATCAGTCAAATAAATCATATTGCATGAAAGTGAATAAATGATGACATGACAGAATGTTAATTTTTGGGTGAACATTTTTTTGGGGAATGCAAGAAGAAGCATGAAGCCTGCTGATTGACAACAACAAGATCGATATAGTTTGAGGTCTCTTTCCCAAACGTCCCCAAGACCAATTCACAAGAAAGGGGATGTAAAACATAAAATTTAAGTGTAATAAAATAAAATCAAAGTGAAGGGAAGGAAGGGTGCAGCACAGTGACATCTGCCCCATAATTACACAGGTCTGAACGTACAGTGAATCACTTTGCATGACTGTACACATCATATAAAAAAAATAAAAATACTGACTGTTAAATTTTACTAACTGTTGACTGTTACTGTCTTATTAAACATGCATATTTTTGTAAAAAAAAAAACACATTTCCATTTCCATGAGGAATATACTTCCTACTTCAAAGAAAGTAAACAAATGAGATCCTCTTCACAAGGTGCTGCAATACTTGGAAAGAAGTACCAGGAAAAGATTGTACTAAAAGCAGTGTTTGCTTACTCATTTAGCTCCGCTTCACATGTGTACTGTGTGTGTGTGTGGACTGAAAGAGAAAGGAGTGCATTCAGACACGTAATACAAGAGCTCAGTCTAATAGCTACACGAAATACATAACCCTATTACTAACACAGACAAGCTATGTTAGTTGTATCCCTGCACGGCCATTTAATATAAAAATTAGAAATTATTCCGACAGGCATCTCTTGTGTCTCAGAAGCACGCTATGCCATGTGATACAGGTGGTTAGGCTCATTATCTTAGCAGATTCAATAACCAGTCCATAGACAGGATACCTGATTATGTCTCTGAACTATGTTCTTCTTTTTGACCTCTTTTTAAGAGATTGAGAGAAAAATAAATGATTTGGGGTGTTTGTATGTGCAAGAGAGATATGGAGCGGCCCCTTGTTATATTTGAGGTAAATGTATGTGAAAGTGAAGCACTTGGTTACTTAAAAATAGCCATTAAAAATCTGTTCCAATGCAATACGTGTACAATACGAGTCAAAAATAAAAAATCACGAAACAAAATATACAATAAAGAATAGTGACGAAAAAAATACCCAAGTCAAAACTCAAAATCTTTTTTTTTTTTTTTTTTTTGGAGGCTGCAAGATATCTTTGGCACATTTCTGCTGCCAAAAAGAATTCACCACCATTCAAAAGTCTTTAAACAAATGAATACTTTTATCCAGCAAAGATGCATTAATCAAAAGTGATAAAACAGTAAAAGTAAAAACATTTACAATGTTACAAAAGCTTTGCATTTCAAACAAATGCTATTCTTTTTGAACTTTCTATTTATCAAAGAATCCAAATAACATGATCACAGTTTAAAAATACTCTCCTATTTTTAAAACTGATAACAATAATATATGCTTTTTGAGCACCAAATCCGAATATTAGAATGATTTCTAAATGATCATGTGACACTGAATATTGGATAATGGCATCTGAAAATTCAGCTTTGCCGTCACAGGAATAAACAACATTTTAAAATATAGAAAATGGTTATTTTAAATTGTAATATTTTACAATATAACTGTTTTAGTCATATTTCTGAGTGATGTGGCACATAAGATACTTAATAATCTGAGTGTACAAACAAACTCTAAAGAGTCTTTTATCTCCAAATTTGCAAGTTACAATCATTATTGTCACTTATTATGATTATCACATTCCGATTTGTCTTAATCTCTTCACAAGACAACTTTCAGCTATTTTCTCTCTGTTTGTTCAAAAACACAGGGCAGTATCATAACCCAAAACCAACAGTAAGTAAACAAATCATTATCAACATTGCCCTGCTAAAAAAAAAAAAAAAAAAAAAAATTATAGTTTGGGATTTTTGGAGTTATTGCTATAAAATGTACTATAAGAACGTTTTGTCAACATTGATTCATGTCGTAATAAATCAATGTCCGTGTGATGTTCATCTAAGACTGAAGGCCATCCTGAGACACATAAATAGTCTCTAGCCACTAAGCCAGTCTCTACCGAAGAGCCCACTTCATCTTCAGACACAAAGCTCTGTGATTAGAATTTGGTACTGAAAAAAAAGACACAGAAAGAAAGGGAGAGGGAGCAGTATGTGTTGTGAAGTGTTGCTATTACGGTCTCCATGGGCAACTAAAGAGGAATCCTGCCAATTCCGTGAGTAGGTTGTGTCTGGGAGGGGAGTGCAAAGCACAATCCTTTAGGTATTATTCTAATTCAATGTCCAAGTCTGTCCAAGTCCACAGAAAAACATCCAGAAGGGAGAGGGGAGCATTCAACCCTGCTGACAGCCCAAGAGAGCACTTCTACCTGGGTAGTAAACCCACAGATACCCTGCCTGCTGGAGATACCACATGAAATGGGGCACCTTTGCATGAATCCATTTAAACATGCATAACCGAAGCCAAGAAAACACCAGGTGAATGTGACAAACCTGAACCTGGGGGAATGATAGTTGGCAATGGCACAAAATCTGAGCATAATGCTTCTTGCTTTCATGATTTTTCTTAACATCAAACAGGAACAAATTAAAATATAAGGTGGTGTCATATACCATAAATAAAATAATTAATAAAAATTGGTCATCTAAATAAGCAAAAATAAAAAGCCACAGAAAAAACTCCCAGCAAGTGATTCCTGATGTGTAAATTCACATGTTTGGGGAACAAGGTGGAGGCGTCTCTTTCTCCTACTTGATAAATGCAACAACCATTCCTGCCCTAGAAAGCTTAGCAGGCAGCACGCAGCACCACTCATAAATACGGAACAAGAGCAATAGAAGTATGACCTTTATAATCCTACATTCAACATGACTAAAACACACTGTGTTACTCTATTTGATCAACTTGTCCAGAATGCAGTGCAGATTTGTGAGATTGTCCCTTTATGGTATTAATACGTAAAGGTAACAGCAAGTTCAATTTAAATTCCATCAGTTTTCAGAAAGAAAATCTCCACTGCACCTCAGAACACTCCACTTTACCATATTCATCAACTAACCAGGATAATTAATGCACTTGCAATTAATACTGTGACCAATACAAGGGAATAATTACATTTGGTGGCAGTTGTGCCTTGCGGCTCAATTAAGTCATTCAACTCGCTGATTACAATTTATATGTTTGTCTTTCATTAACAAGTCCTGCAAAAATCAATCTAGCCCGTGTCAACCTTTCTGCAAAGTCCTACTTACATTCACAGCTATTAACCGAATGTCTGTGTCTAATAATACGCTCAAAATATGCCATGCACAATGTTCATTTTCGACATAATATGTCACTTATCAATTACAATAATAATGTGTGCTTCATAAGCAGCTTCACAAATTTAAGTGCATTGTCTATTACTGATACATACTACACAGTAAAACGAACACTGTAATCTACACTTATGTATACAGTGTGTGATGTTTACAAAGCATCAAAAAAATAGAAAGTAAAAATTCCAGTATAGAGGTACCTAAAGCCACAACCCATGACAGTTGGAGTCTTTTCAAAGAAACAGTGTGACAAGTTTATGCATGTGGTTTCAAAACCAGTAAGCATTTCTGGTACCATAAACAGTTTTTTAAGACCTTAGTTGAAAGAGAAACACCTTCATGGCTATATAAGACACCTGTTAAAAAGAGGTTCAAATTACTCACGGCAGTTTTCCTCATCGCTGTTATCCGAGCAGTCATCATCATCATCACATCTCCATGGAGTCGGGATACATCTGCCGTTCTTGCACTGAAACTGACCGCTTTCACAGTCCGGTTTAGTTCCTGTCATATTAAGAAATTGTGTGTAAGTACAGGGTGCAAATTTTGGGGGAGATCAAGTTATTAACTAAAGGCAATGATTACCACAGACACTGTTCGACCAACATTTTTGCCACGTTTTTTTTTTACTTTGCCCTCCCCAATTTTCAATATTTTGTTTCATCTCTACTTTAACCCACTTCCACAAAAGACGTCAAAATAAATTGTTGGGGATATATACACATATATTGTACACACTTACAGTATGTACAATATATGTATAATTCTTTATAGATTAATATATTGCACATATCACATTCACAAAGACAGCTCAAACTTTAAAAAAAAAGGTCAAACTTAAAAAAAAGTTTATTTCTTATTTTACAAGTCTCTGTATAGACCTACATAATTTTATGCAAAGTTATGTTAACAGCTGTCAAACAATACTGTCAGTAAAAATGACAGGTTGCAGTAAATGTATCACAAACAAATTAGGCTACAAAGGATAAATGACACGTGTGCATAAAAACACATCTAAATTGTTGACATATTCAATGAGAGTAAAGTTGCGCTATTGCGCATGGGTTACTTTCAATTGTGTACTAATCCTACTTCTATAATTTCATTTTATATGACAAAAACTTCCTTCTTATTGTGCCCACGGCGATCACGGCAGGACAAGAACAAAATGCACTTGATCAAATAGTCGTTTCTTAAAAAAAACAAGCTGTATAAAGAGATTAACGTGATATAACGCGCAAAATAATGTCTCGTCATCGGAAGTAGATGCACGCGGCTCCGCCGGTGTTTCTACAGCATCAATTTACATTCATAACAGCGGACTGTCAGCGTGGAGCAGACACTTACCATTCACCAGCAGAAAGCCCACGAGTATCATATGTAAAAGCAGCAGTTTCCCAATAGCCGTCCACATCTTTACAAATAAAGACGCTGTGCTCATACGGAATATAAAAAGGTCGTGCTGTACAGTGTCTACCTCCTGTCTCCGTGCGGTCTGCGCTCTGGCTCTCCAAGCTTCACTCTGCTTCGATACCAGTTTGAATCGATGACGCCTACGTGGAAGGGCGGGGCCATGCGTGATGACTTGAACGCACGGGCGGGGTTAATTTTGAGAATTGAAACAAAACATGCCAGAAAGTCTTCTACACAGTTGAACAGATGAAGAGATTTGTGGGCATTGTAGAGTACAAATAATTGTATAGATTGAGACTTTTGTAAAAGAATAAAAAAATAAAAAATGTATAGGCTATATATATATATGAAGAGTTCAGATGCAAAAGCCTCTAAATGCCATTTGAAATTTTCTTCTTTAATGATGATTTTTGTCAAACTTGTATATTTAAGTTCAGTAATTTTACTTAAATAACAATTAATAGGTAATTATCATTGCCATTTAAGTGAAATCACTGAACTTAAATATACAAGCTTGATAAAAATGATCATTCTAGAAGAAAATTTCAAATGGCACTTAGAGGCTTTTGCATCTGAACTCTTCATATATATATATATAGAGCCGATAAAGGATTTTGAAGGCCGATACCGATACAAATATATTTGTTGGTTTCCGATATTCCAACATTTATCGGCCATTATAACTGCCGATACCGATAGTTTGGAAAATGTCAAATATCGGCCGATAATGTCGGCCAATATATAATGTGAACAAATAAAATGGGAATGTTTATGAAAAAAATAACAGGTGCTGCACTTTTGTTGTATTTAATTTACTGTGTGAGAGAAAATAAATAGCCATATTGGTAAATGTTTTTAGAGTAAAATAGAAAATATTTTTAGATGTAAATGTAAGTAAATAGGTGCATTCCCAGAAATCCCTGCAAGATCCATAACATTTATTTATATTATCTAACAAGTTATATTTCTTGCTATTTAATCATTAACAAAGTCCATTGTTGTGTTCTGTTACATTTTACGTTATATAATTCATGTTTGTTGTATTACCGCATTTTAGATTCTAGTCTCTAGAAAGTTGTTTCAGGGTAGCTACAGGGACTGGCTGGCATTATAAACAGGAAGCTGTCGGGATTGCAGTGCTATGATAAATTGTTCCCCCTTCTTAAGTGTGAAAAAAGAGAATAAGAGGGAAAGAGAGAGAACGAAGTTTAATGTTTTTTCTCAGTTGAGAAGGCATCACCATCAGTCAGTTCTCTTTTCTCACATGTACTGAACCTACTGTTGGAAACAGCTTCCTCTGTGTGGGTTCTTTCATAAAGATTACTTTTACTGCATTTCTAGCATCAGTTTCTGCTATGAACCACTAGAAGCTCTGTAGCTCATTTTCTGTTGTGAAAATAATCATCAATCGTAACGTAAAGGAGAATTTAACCCAAATTCTCTATGACATGCAGCATTTTAGTTCAGAACTAAAGTCAGAACAACTTCGATTTTACTGAAACACAAATCATAATAGCTATTGTCTCATAGATTGACTGTCTGTAGTCTGACAGTACACACACTAGACTTTCCAGTTTTATTCCTATCTATATTCTGAAAGTTGTAACATATTCAGCAGATTTATGATAACATTTTAATTCTAAAAAATGTGTGTTTTTCTGTTTTCCTGTGATAGGTAAAAACATTCAACTCTAATACGACAACAAAATGAAACAATACGTTTGAACCTGGCTTATTCCAAAGTTCACATTTCTGTTTTGAAAATGTTTATAAATTTGTGCATATTTAATTAGATAATGCCAATTTGCATAATTAAACATAACATTTTAGAAAATGTGTAATAGAAATCAATTGCACACTGTGATTAATTAACTGAGAAAGTATGAAGAAATACAAATTAAAAATGTTTTACTCTAATCACTTGTAGTGGCCAACATCAAAATTTAGATTTTTGGTATCACATTTTGACTGGTCTCTGAGTTATTTCTGGGAAGAGGGAGAAAATTTCAAAACTGAAAAATTGTGAGAACATCACAACATGAGAGCGTAGGTCTGCTGATCTGCATATTCTCTCTCTTTCAGTGGTAGAACTCGCCTAAACTACCAGAACTGCTCTCTGCCAAGCTGCTGACCCAAAAAACAGAGAGATGTTCAGTCGATAACTGGCCAGTGGCCCACCAGCTATTCAAGTGAGAAACAGGGTTTCATCAAAAGATATGACAGTGCAGAACTTCCACACAGCAGAAACAACCGGAGATGCCTGAATGGTTGTTCCCTGCCGTAGAGACACAGGTTCTAAAAAGGGCATTCTTTGAAGAAGTGTATGGTTGTTAACGTGGTGTGCTTTGCTTAGTCTATTTTTGTGTGGTTTGGAAGTTAGATTCCAGCCGCTGATGTTTGAATATTCCATTGATTAGAGTGTAATGAGGTATTTTACAAATCACTTCACCTTCATTACTTTTGCCAATCAGACTGGAAAGTGTTAGCCCTTATTATCCCTCAGACTCAACTCGTGTTTTTGCTTCCATGAATTCTCACTGTTACCATAGTATGAGAAGATGTGTTATTTCAGACATATTGAATCATAGTGAGGCTCTAGAACTTAAAGCAATATTACAAGTTAGCAGTAAAGTGATTTGACCCAAAAATATAAATATTATGATAGTCCCATCCCTGCAAGACTTTCTTTCTTCTGTGTAACAGGATAAACATTGAAGAATTGTATTGATCTCTCTATTATGCAATTACACTGAAAAAAAAAACAATACAATTACAAAGACCACTTTGAATTAAATGTGCAATTTTGAAATATAGTGACTCCAATAACTTTTGTTATTACAACTACACTGAAAAAAATTTGGAGTAGGATTTACTTGAAAAAAGCTAGCTTTTTTCACTCAGAAAATGCTAGTAAATTTACAAAGATTTGCCAAGTCATATTTATCAGTGGCTTTAATTAGAAATCTTAAAGTTAAATTTACTTGGAATATGGAATTAAGTAAACTTTACAGAAAATAGGTAATTTTTACTAAAAGGTTGATTAACATTGATTTCCTTTGCCTTTGCATTACATTTCAATTAAACAATAATATTGAAATTTATTAGTCATTTATAGTATGTGCTTTACTTAGATCACCAAAGTAATTTATATTACATCATGTCAGATGTTTAGCATCATGTGAATACAAAGACATCAATACTTGTTAGACAATACACAATGGCGGTAACATTTGATTGGTCGTTTTTGTGTTTGAATGTGTCATTTTGAGCAAAAAATAAATAAAAATACTCAAAATGTCCCAAAATGGCAAGTTACTAATACTGACAACAAAAATTTAATGATAAACAATGTAAATAAAGCTGGAAACCAGTGAAAAATTAACCTCATTAATTATTCAAGGTCCAGTGCATGATGGGAACCCCAGTATCAGAAAAGTTGAGTAATTTTTACTTAATTTTATTGAGTTGATATTTACACTTTCATTTCTACTCGCTTGAATTAAGGACTGATATGGAATTTACTTTTTTTTATTCTTGCCTGAATTAAGTTTTTGCAACGCATTCTCACCCCAAGGCGTCACCTTTGACCATGCTTCAATATTTGACGTTTTAGGCGCCCTTTAGTGTCACTTACGTGTAGGGTACACGCGATCCTAGGGCGTCATCTAACAGTTAAGTTAAGTTAAGTGACGCCTTGGGGGTGAGAATGGGCTGACTTTTTAATGTAAATTACATTGTTTTTTTTTCATTACTTCACCAAAAAATCAATGAATACAATGAGTCAAAAAGAAAATTGGTCCATACTTATTTTGCTCTACAATTCAATTGCCAGTCTCAGTCTCTATTAAAATGCATGGAAACATGAATTATACATGAAGTATAATTCTTCATATTCATTTACTGTTGTTTTCCATAAACAAGATACTTTCGGTTTGGAGCAACATAAGAATGTTAGCACATAATGATTTCATTTTTCAAATCATTTTTTTTTTTTTTTTAAATGTTGATTTAAATGTTGATGTTTTTTTAAAAGTCAATATGATCTTCTGTGGTAATCCATAGCACGTCACAGATGCTGTTGATATACTACAATGCTGACGAAAGTACAGTGAACCTGAAATTCATAAAATATATGAGCCAAAGTTTGTCTACATGAACCCATTAGATCCTACTGGATTCTAATGCACCAACTGTGCATCATGACATAATTTTCCTGCAGGTAAAGAGTAATTAGTCATTATGTGACTCTCAAACAACTTCACATCTTCTTCACATCTTCTATTTATATCCAAGTGGTACATTGACTTGTAAAAGGGAAGATTCTCAAAGAAGGGGTAAATGCAGCAACTTATTCTGTATTACTAAATTCTCTCTCTTCCTTTCCACATTGCACAGGTGTTTTATTTATTTATTATTGATGTTGGCAAATAATATTTTTATATGCTGCTTAAGTCACAGTGAAATGGCTTTATGAGATCTGTGTGCTTTTTTTTAGATTTCCATTAGAAACTGATATAAAAAGTTATGTAATGTAATGAGAAGAAATGACATGATTGGATAAGTAAGAAGGAAAAAGAAGATGTGCTACTGTAAATTCAAGTTCAAGTATTTTTTTGAAAGAGCAGAGCTTTACATATCATTTCATGTCATAAAAGTGTACACTTTCATACCAGCATTGAAACATTGATTGATGTTAGTTCCCCCCACATCACGTTTGTATAAAGATTTGCAGAAATCATTAAAAAAATGGAATGAATGTGAAAACAGGTGTAATGTTTAAAAACGTTTAGAGGAATGTGGCTGGTTTTGATAACTGAATTAATGGTTTGTGAATTTGTGCCAATTGAAGATTAAACTATTTTGATTTAAAAAAAAATTATGGTGAAAATCAACAATTTGTTAAAGTCACTATTGAATCTGACACAGTGACCAGTGACACTTATTTTAAGGTAAATGTCATATTCATCATGAAATCTTTCTGTCACACATTCACACAAATAATACAAACACAGTTTCATGTGAGTATAGGGGATTATCACGCTGATACGTAGGACTTCCGGATTCAGTGCACTGCCACTTCCGTTGAATCACCAATCTCGCTGGCGAACTGATGACGG